TGAAACCTTCCAGTCGCACATAAGTAAGGAACACTCCCTTACCTTCCAGCTTTTCTCGTTCCCGAATTAGCAGTTTTCTCGCCAAAAATTTTACATGTCCCTGCATGAGGTCCGGAGCTGAATTTGAAAACTTTTGGTCGTGCATGAGTAGGGAACATTCCTTTAAAATCTCAGCTTTCTAGCTTTTCACGTTCCCAAATTGCCGATTTTCTCGCCAAAATTTTCATGTAACCGTTATGTGCCTGAAAGCTAATTTTAGGATCCTCGGAATCACATTTGGCCAGGGACACATTGATAAAATTTAAGCATCAAAGGTTGCACAGTTGACGAATAACAATACCCGGGCAGATGAACATACATACACAAAAATACATACACACAAACACACACATCTATACACACACATAATACACATACAAAAAGGATCGTCGCAATATGTGTTTTTACTAATTTTGCAGCGCTCTAGCGCTACACGACAAAAACCCATTAAAAAAAATGGTGCTGGACCATAGATTTGATCTGGGTGATGGAACGACAAAAGGAGAGAGACAGCCTACTAAAATTCTCATGTGTTCAAGAATTTGGTAATGCAGCAGTAACCGGATTTTTCAATATGCGCATGCAAATGTCGAGGGATTAACTCGCGGACCATTGACTCCACAAAGGATATTCTACAAGCAATTCCAACACAACACAACCAGTAAAGCCAGCTGGAGGATGAGGCAAAAGAAAAAAAATCGCTGAATTAACATGGCGAATGTTAGTCAAGAATAAAGTATTTCGTCGAGATGTCTTTTCAGTGACCAGAACGAATCGAATGCGTCCAACACCGACGACTGAATTCAAAGATCTCTGCAGTTCTGAAAAGAGTAGTAGTGAGAAGCAAAAAAAAAGATGAAGCTCAAAACGTGGGGCACTCCTGCCTTTCTCAGATTCATCAGACGAAAGCTGAAGGAAGACTTCGAGAACTATAAACACGGATGGAAAGTAGCGGCGCTTCGTATAAAGCAAATTTTATAGAAACTGTTGTTTTACTCTTCCAGACGGCGATGCTTAAGAAAGAAAACTAACTAAAACATTGAGTATTAAATGTTAAATAAATATTAAGATGTACAGCTCAGGGGAAAAATACCTACTATACTCGCGCCTGGGGTAAAGTAGCGTTCCGGAAAATTATTACAGGATTTGCTCACCGATTATCCAGGCAGTTTCTAAACAGTTAGTTGCAAAAAAATGACAGCAATTTAGTATATTTTTGGATTGCTGCAGCTTATTTCCGATTATCAAAGCTTGCGCAGCCTAAAATCTCCTTAGTTAAAGCACTAAAAAACGTCCGAAATTTAGAAATGAAAAATAATTCAGAAATTCGAAATTAAAATAAAAGTAACTAAGTGAAGAATTGCAGTACATTTTAATGGAGGGTCGATATGTACATGCGTCCGAGTATTATCAGACATACCAGTCGCTGTCGCCGCTTTCGCCTTCTATTCAGCCCTTATTTGCCGCATACTGCCAAATGCTTATTAATCCGGAAAATGCTGAAACATTTTCTGCGGGTAATACGTCAATGTTCACCACTGTACACTCGATGGATCTGAAATTTATATATATTGATCAAATGTGAGTCTGTGCCGAAAAGCACACTTTACTGAAGACTTATGTAGTGAATCGCAAAAAGCGTCAACTCTACTGATGAACGCAGTAAGCCTGAGCGTCTTTATTACGAGGTACAATGCAATAATAAAGCGGTATGAGCAATAGTTAGTGAAATCAGAAGAGAAAAGCACTGAGAAAAAGTCAAATACAAATGTGACAGTGTGATTGTTTCCGAAAAATCTGTTACTGGAACTTGTTTATGCAACAAGTTCCAGTAATCTGCTCTAATCGTACCGCGGCACGAATTTTTTTTTTTTTTTTTTTTCATCCTGGAGAAATTGCGCCACAACTTAATTCGTTTGCTTTGTTTTTATGCGCTTTTGCACACAGTCTGGCGAGAAAATGCATTCTGGCCAAATCAGACCTGTGTGTATGTACGCATATGTGCATGCGTATGCTTGCTCGGATAATTCACTTCCAGAATCAGAAAATTGGAAAGCTAAACCTTCGAAAAAGTAGTCATTGCTTCAGATCCATTTCGAGCTAATTTTATTTTCTTTTGATCATGAAATGTACAAAATGAAAATTTTAAAACATTAACTCATCAGTTACTTCGAGGCGATCAATCATAAGTAGTAACCGAATCTAACTATATCTTGACCTTCTGTTTTGTTACGGAATTAAACTGATTTTATAAATTCACAAGCGACACAAACTAGAAATTTACAACTTTGTGCTTTCAGTCAATAACCGGGAGCGGAATGAATGGTTCGGAATCTAAATTCAACCTTTCAGTTCCCTGATTTAACGCACGCTCAAATATGGTCTGAGAAAGCCGTGTC